AACTTGAATTGCTAAACATAAAAGTACTATTAGATGAAAGAATACAATTACCCAGCAGCAGCAGCACATTTTGGCTGAAATATATCAGCCTTGTTCCTCTACTGGGACTGAGAAAGGTACTCTTCTTCCTAGAGGAGGCCACTGGAATGCCTTATTTTCCAGAAGGGAACCATATCAACCAGCTCAGAAAAAGTCTGAGCGCAAAGCTCGAGTCAAAATGTTTCTTTAAATTTTACCTGATTCAGATGAAGTTAATAAGAACGCTATAGTTTGGATGCTTTTCTGACTATTTATTACATTTGTATTTTAAAGATGTTTAAATATAGATTTTACTGTAAAATAATTTGATAAAAATATGTTTTTGGATTCTTCCAATGGGTTAAGTTAAATTGAGTTTATAATGTTATAGTCAACACCAAAGGTGTAACCTGGGTGTTCCAAAAGAGCATTGAAAAGAGACAACTGTTTAGAGCAAAACCCCTACATAGTTTCCACTGCGTAACTATTAAAGGTCATGAAGAAAGAATGAAATCTTTGTGTACTGCGGCGCAAGAGTTTTGAAACAGCTTTGGACTATTTAAACAGGCTTTTCGTTGAGTCAAGAGCATCTAGAGCAGGGATTCCCGAAGTGTGGTGCGCGCACCCCCGGGGGTGCGCGAGCTGCCGCTAGGGGGTGCGCAAGGTGAAAAGTGTAATGGCTGCGGAGGTCAGAGAAATTTATCATATGTCACCATTAGCATAGCCAGAAACTCATTTGTGGGTGAGCCTAAGAAAAAGTAAGTGGGCCCAATAAATGTAATTGAAAACAAGTATATTTTTGCGCGCGTGTGTCCTCCACATGTGCCCTAGCTTCATAATAACAATGCGCCGAGCTTCAGCACTCTGGCCTGCGCACGCCGATATGTTCCGTATTTGATCATTTTTAACGGTGTTGGAGGAATCTGAAGGTGGCGAGTCATTCTGGCAGATTGTAATTAACACCTGTCTCATGCAGGTGTTCTGACATTGTAAACCTCACACACAGAACATTGTGGATGTAACTAAATAAATCAAGAAATAATTCACATTCAGGCTATTAACAGCACGCTGAAGATCTGAAGTTCAGAGTGCGTCTGTCAGAGGTCAGACGCGTTCCAGCGGAACCACGGCTCACGGGTGCACAAGTGAGCACATCTGGGCTGGGCAGAGGTAATTTTACAACATTGGTTTAAATAGCGCCATTAACGAGACGCGGTGACTGGAGCGGCTCATGGAGCTGTGCCGCGCGCGCGCACGCACACACACACACACACAGATTCAATAAGCGCGCACGCTGCAAACTCCGGCGCGCCGTCAGACTGAAGGCGAAAATGAGAGCTGCCTCCTCCGTGATAAAAACTTTTAAGATTTTATAACAACATTTTTCATTCCAGGTCAAATTAAGATATTAGCTTCTATTTTGGGATGACGTATTAAAGTCGGGTCCACTACAGCCAGTGACTCCTCATGAACCTGACCCACTACTCCTTACTGCAGCATTTGTTAGTCCAGGCCGCGTGGCAGCGGATCGCAGATTCAGCCACACCATAAAACAGCAATAAGTCGGTCTGAGGCAAAAGTGAACCTCATGGCATTTCCATCTTTTCCCCTATAGACATTTGATTACGCACAAGTAGGTGATCAGCTCAGGTTTACGCAGAGCAGAAGGAAGGAGAGCGCTCTGGCCGCACAGGTTAAACGTTCCTACTTTAAGAAAACCGTTAAATTGCATTGTTTATGTGCTACCTGGGCACTCTAAATATTTATTTAAAATTAAATCAAAGGAAATTGTAATGGTATCGAATGTTTATTAATTACTATTTAAAAAATGAAAGTGATGGGGAAAAAGGTCGATCATATTTTTTTAACCCTGTCTGTGTAGCTTGACATCTGATATATATATAGCCATGCCCTGATGTGTGTGTGTGTGTGGGGGGGGGGGGGGGGCGCGGCTAAATAAGTTTGTGAACCACTGATCTAGAGGCACAGAGAGCCTAAGTCACTTCCGCACCACCACAAGTCAACGGGGCTAAAAACTCTATTTTCTAACCCGCTCTGCCTCACGCCCTGGATCGCACACATGTTGTACTGCAATTTAAATGAAAACTAAAGATGGGTGTTTCGACCACGCCAGTCACGTACTTTGAGATTTATCAGCTTGTAAAAAGTCGTAATTAGCATGACTACAAACTAGAAATCGGCACGTATATGATGTCACCACATAAGCTCCTCGCCCCTAGCGTAGCTGCTACTTACCACATGACCAGATTACTGGTGGTCCGTTCCTCCTGTGGGAAGTTTACTGAACTTACAGCCCTTTTCCCTCAGTTTTCTCCGTGTCTGGTTCGATGACGTCACTTTCGTGATGCATTTGTAGTCCTGGACTTATTTTCACACATAACCTAAAATATCATTGCCCCCGTTCGAAAATAAGTGTGTTCTTGGTATCAAAATGTGTCTTTAAAATTCACGGGCATCACATGTGAAATCCATGGCACAGAAAACAGCGTTTTTAGTCCCATTGACTTGTATTCATTTTTTCGTTCTTCCGGGGACCCGTGGTCTGGAAGTAGATGAGCGTGACTTAGGCTCCCTATAGGCATGAATACGTAGACGCCCCATTGGGCGCTGGAGAGTGTAACAGCATTGCCGCCATATTGAATGGGTTCCTCACTCTCTAAACCCAACTGGAGTCAACGCAGAGTGAGCAACTTTTCCTGTTCTTTGTACAGCCTACGGTTGCAAAAACCAGCGTACTACCTGTTGAATTAATTATAGATTCACTAAGAACGCTATTTTCTAACCCGCTCTGCCTTACAACCTGGATCGCGGGCTGCATGGTGGCGCAGTGGTTAGCACTGTTGCCTCGCAGCACGAAGGTTGCAGGTTAGAAACTCGGTCGCAGCCTTTCTGCGTGGAGTTGCGTGTTCTCCCCATGCATGCGTGGGTTTCCTCCGGGTACTCCGGTTTCCCCCACAGACCACAACATGCCCTATAGGTTATAAATTGTAAGTCGCTTTGGATAAAAGTGTCTGCTAAATAAATAAACATAAACATAAGATAAAGATAATAAAGTTTATCTCTCACTAAATAGAATATTTACTAAGAAATCACAACGTAGCCATAGAAACACTACTTGGTATATATACTGTGTGTGTGTGTGTGTGTGCGTGCGTGCGTGCGTGCGTGCGTGCGTGCGTGCGTGTGTGTGTGTGTGTGAGAGAGAGAGAGAGAGAGAGAGAGAGAGAGAGATGGTGGCTGGCTTTATACTGATCCAGGATCCTCTGGATCCTTTGTGAAGTGCCTTGGGACCATGGCGGCATGCGAATGAACTGAATTGAATTGAACTACTGAAAACCGATCACGTAGGATTACTATCGTTTTTTTCTAGCCTACCTGTGGGGATTTTGTATTGTAATTTATTTAGTTTAACTATATTAGTTTAGTTATCATGCTGTAACGTGTGTCTGATTTTGTGAAAAGCACAATAAAACGTGTTAGTTGGATCCACACCTTCCTTAGTAGAAATGGGTGGTGAATGGAGACCCATCTAAGATGGCGGCTGGCACCAAACCATACTATAGATATGTTATTTGTTAAGTGCTTTTCACACATCATTACAGCTACGGCAGCTCCAGTAGGCAGCACCAGTCCACAGAGTATCTACGTATATGTAGTCTGTGAGACGGAGGAACTGGAGTCCTATTTAGTAAAGGGATGTGTTTGCGTCCTCTTCAACAGAGTATGGTGGACTGTCCCGTTGACTGACATCTGAAGTGGTGATTATGTCACATGTGAAAGACAACCGTAGATCCCGCCCCACGGTCTATGGGTCTTGGCCAGACTGTATATTCATATATATAGGATGCCGTGAATCAGAATCAGAATCAGAATCAGGTTTTTTCCCATTGTCAGTGAACAAACAATTCACAAACTAGGAACTTGCTTCGGTACTAATGTGCTACATATAACATGAATAATAAGATTAAAAATAGAATAAAATAGAATAAAATATAATAAAAAAACTAGAATAAAACTTTCAGCTATAAAAATGGCTGGTAATGGTAACATGGCCGATATTGTGACGTTATGTCAAGTACAGAAGACGAGCATGGTTGTGTGTTTATAAGCTGTTCACAAGTCTAACGGCAGATGGAAAGAAGCTGTTCTTATGGCGGGAGGTTCTGGTTCGGATGGACCGTAACCTCCTGCCTGAGGGAAGCAGCTCAAAAAGTCTGTGACCCGGGTGAGAAGGGTCAGCTGCTATCCGACCTGCACGCCCCCGAGTCCTGGAGACGTACAGGTCCTGGAGAGATGGAAGGCTGCAGCCAATCACCTTCTCAGCAGAGCGCACAATGCGCTGCAGTCTGTGTTTGTCCCTCACCGTGGCTCCAGCGTACCACACAGCGATGGAGGAGGTGAGGATGGACTCAGTGATGGCCGTGTAAAACTGCACCATCATCTGGGCCGGCAGCTTAGCCTTTTTCAACCGCCGCAGAAAGTACATCCTCTGCTGGGCCTTTTTGAGCAGGGAGGCACATTTTGATCAAAATGTGCCAGGCGAACATACTCTTTCATAAAGATTGGGTAATTACATGTTTAATATTTTAATGAAGCAGTAAAAAATTGTTTGTGGGAAATAAAACAAAGGCAGAAAACATATTATTTGTTCATTTAAATGAGAACTTTAACCCCAAAATAAGGGCTGACTTATATTTGCTAATGCTCATTTATAACTGCCGCTGCAACACTGTGCAGTGATGAAATGACTTCTGACTTGTTAAACGAGCCTCTTAATATCAATGATGTGGGACAGAATTGACCTGAATAACAAAATAAGCCTCAGCTTAGATCAACCTAAATACTCCTGAGTGAGTGAGAGTTGTGGATGGTGTTGTTGTCTTGCTTCAAAACTGTGTGTGTGTGTGTGTGTGCGTGCGTGCGTGCGTGCGTGCGTGTGTGTGTGTGTGTGTGTGTCTTACTGTGGCTTGTGTGGAGCTTTCCTGCAGGTCCCAGAGCAGAGCGTGATTATCAGCCAATGAAATCAAACGCTTGCCATCTCCCATGGGTTCCCATAGCACGCTGTAAATGCACAAAGTCACAAATGTGGCACATAAACACACAAACTCTTAGAAAAACAGTCATTGAATATCAGAATGAGGACTTGTATAATCTTGCATGAATTAAACATTCAAAAAGTCACATAGCTGAAGGTTTGGTCAAGGAATTAACGCACATACGTCATTTTTATACAGTAGTTCTTCTTCTGAGTCCCTACACCCCCAGCATTTCCCTGAGGTCCAGTGATCAAGCCTACTGGTTGTGCAGCACCAGGCTAAAGGTCAAAGGTGACAGATCATTTGCTGCTGTGGCCCCCAGACTCTGGACCTCTCTCCCCCTGAGCCTGAGATCAGTGGACTCAGTGGTCTCCTTTAAAAAGCAGCTGAAGACTCACTTGTTCAAGCTGGCTTTTGTATGACCTTCTTCACCTCTCTCTCTTTATTCTGCTCTCCCCACCTATTCCACCTTCCTCAGGATCCACTGGTTTCCCTCTTTCCTGTTCACTCTCTCTCTTTCTTAAAATTTTTTAATCACAAGTGTCTATTTTTGCTCATTTTAAATATATTTTTAAACATTTTTAAATGCGTTTTTATATTTTTACATTTTTTTGTTTTTGTGAAGCACCTCGTGATTTTTATCTTGAGAGGCGCTATAGACATGATACTTTCTTCTTCTAGTTACAGTATTTTCATGTATTTCCAAACTGCACAGATTTTAATCGAGCACCAGACTTTCTGACTTCAGCTGCATTTGCTAATACCTTCAAATTATTTGTTCATACTAAGAAAACTGTTCACAAATTTGATTAAAAGACTTCTTTAAAACCTAAAACTTCACGTTTAGGACATACATGTGCATGTATTGGGACCTGACTAGAGATCTGACTTGTTCAGAACATTGTTGTGACCATTACACAATCATAATTTGGTCGTGAAGCTTTTATTGTCAGTAAACACAAAATGTAAAGGAAGCAAAGCAAATCATTAGTGGAAAAAACAGAACAGTAAATCTGTTTCTTCTCTGTAACCATTTCTGAAATGTGCTTTTTTATATAAATTGATACATATTGATATATTGAACAGATGAGAACGAGTCAACACAGAGTTTGGTGCAGATTGTAAAGCTGCAGGTTTATTTTTCCAGCGCATTTCACTTAAAGATTATTCAGACTCAAGTGCCGCCATCGTCCTGAGGAGGTTTATGTTTGTACTTTGTCATTTTATTTGATTCCTGTAGTCTTCGCTAATTACACTCCAGAAATAAAATTATGAATCCCGTAAAAGTGACAATAACGTATAACTGAGCCACGCGTGGCTAGCACAGAGTACTTATTGGCAAATCCCGCAGCCCAATTCTGTCAATCCACATTCACAAGACGGAAGCACGTGGCTGCCTCGATGCTGCTAAAAAATAGCTTTTACTGCATACTTTACTTTGATCGCTCCCTGCATACAGCCGTCTGCGGAGTATTGATTTTTTATTGCATGCCTCTTGGAGCTGTGAGTCTTCACCGCGCTCTATTTAAACTATGTATTATCCGCACAGGGCCGCTCCTCGTGTTTTTCATTACTCCCTTGATGTTGACTGGGACATTTGCATACTTCTGTTCATTTCTCTTAGTTTGGAGAGATTCAGCAGCTAAATAAAGACAGAAACAGCAATAAGGGAGAAGGCATCTCTTCACTCTGTGTCCTGCCATATGTCATCAGAGTCAGAGACCCCGAGAGGAGCTAAATATAACTTTGGCCTGCTCGTTATGGTTTTGATTTAAGGCGACTTTTCATCTGAAGAAGAAGATCTGCACTTAATCTGGGTTAAAAGTGATGAAGATGTGGTGTTGCCTTAGGTTTGGATGTCTGATTCTGCTGCAGCTGTTAAACTGCTGTCATTAGTGGTTTACTAAAGGATGCAATTTATTTAGAGAGTTCATCAGTTAGACGGTCCATTTTCTGGGACTCATTTGTCAGAACGAAGCAGCAGCAACAATACCGCCGTTTGAGAGAGCGTGCATGTTCGAGAAGGTGAGAGTGTTGGTAGGAGATAAAAGCAAATGACAAGCAGGAAGGAGAGAAGACAAAGTTATAGTTTGCTTTTGCGTTCCAAATTTGCATTTCATGCCATTAGAGGAGGCGAAGCAGAGCCGGGGAGGGACTGGAGGAGGTGGCAGAGGGGCAAAGGAGCACTCTTTATTAGAGCCGTAAATCCAAGGCTGCTGAGGGACGGCTTTTACTGCCCTCCTGAGGAGAAAGCAGTCATGGACTCGGGATGCAAAACACAGGCAGAAAATCACACGCTGACTTGGATTTACTTCCTCAACACAGAAATATACCTGCATATAATTTTAGTTGTTTTTTTTTACCTCTAAGAGGAACATTTTATTACCTAATCAGCAACGCTCTCAAAAACCACACAAAGGTGGACAGTCTGGGTTTCTGTAACAGAAGGAAGAATGGGATTTGTCATGAGCAGAGACTGTATAAAACAGTCAAAGGGATAGTTTGGCCTTTTTACTGGAGCACACCTGAGAAGTCGGTGTCTTCCCTGCAGGAGAGTGTTTTGTGTTTGGAAATCTTGGAGGAATCCTTAAGGCAACGTCTTATTTATCAGCTTTGAATCTGATGACGTAACGACTGGACTGGATATGTGATCCTCGTGCTTTGGTGCCATCTACATCTCAACCCTTTAAGACTGAAACCATTTCTGTTACAAAACTCCAAAAGGTGATGTTTTGGATCTTTAAGCCGAAAATCCAAACTTCAGTTTTATGAGATTTTACTTGATGAAACATTTATTTTGTTCTTTATTGATTTTCTTAGGTTGCTATTTTACTTTGAACAATACTGCGGGCAAAAAAATAAATAAAATAAAAATAAAAAACTCTTGTTTTGTCTTTGGATTCGTGCACCCACTTCTGGAAATCTCTGCAGAGACAGAAAACTCAATTATAAGCAGATGACTCCGGAATAGCAAAGACAAAAAGATCTGAGGCTAGACGAAGAGAGTCTGACTCCAGGAAGGACTATCACACTGAAACAAATCAAAGGGTTATACGTCAGTTATGGCCGACCCAATAAACCAGAACGACATGAAAGGAATTAGGAACAGGTCTAATTGACTCAAACAGCACTGTGATAAAAGATAAATCTAAAGAACAACGTTCTTTTTTTATTCTTCTTATTATTTACCCACCACCTAAACCCAAGTCTGGTCGTGAATTCATCAAAGCATTTGGTTTCCAGAAAAACCAAATTGCCAAGTATTTTACTGGCAACAAGTGTTGTGAAATTTGTCCTTTTAGACGTTACGGTTAAGCTTCAAAACAATGGCTTCAAGCCCAACGTGGATGTGTATCATTAAAATCCTGGTAGAGTCTAAAAACCAACCCTGATCCCAAACCCAACAGCACATAATATGGGTCCGTTTGCAATCAGATGCTGGTGGAGTAACTTTAAAAATGGAAACCATAGCATGACCGACAACTCTTTTTTCTCCCACAAACACACCCCAAACACACATCAGGACCAATTAAAACACACACGTATGCATCCCTGCAGGCCCATGTGATCCAAAAGGCGTCTCTCTTTCTTATTAAACACTACAAGTTATACGCTTTTGACCTTGAGCTCTGCAACAAGCTGGCAGCTGGAACAATACTGTCAGGGAGAGCTGCGGGGGTTTTACAGCCCCATATATCTAAGTCAGGGACAGGGATTCGCTTCTCCCTTTCTTTGTCTCTCTATACGTCTCTTGCTCTCGGGACTGTTCCCCCTCTATGCTGTGCTTTGCATCCATATGAGTCTAATCCCGGTCCGTTCGACTCAAAGCCAACACAAACACATGGGGTGTATCTGTGTGTGCCTTCCCTCCTTCTGGATAAGATTAAACTAGAATGCAGGCACGGTAAGCGCCTGTTCCACAAACAAACAAACAATTCAAACGTCATGTTTGTTTGTGTTATGTTTGCTTCTAAAAAGTGATTTTACAGATTTGAAGCAGGAGTACTACTCAGCAGGTTTTTTGTCTTTAGCTTAAATTGTTCCGAATGCTAAGGTTACATGACAGAGTCTGGAGAGGAGACGCCAGATCTTCAGGTAAATTGTAATGCAATTCCATTTTATCATTTATCGGCAGCATAACTAATGAAAATGTGTACAAAATTTCTTTTTTCCCTTTTAAAATATTTTCAAAATCTTCCATACTCTAAGATTTTATCACAATTTCAGCACTCCTAAAATTCAGGGTGTTTCTTAATGCCAAGGAACCTTGCATTGATGTCTTGGCTCCGCCCCGGTTGCCTAGGAGATATGTCATCAGGAGCCGCCAAGACGTGTTCCATTCGGTTCCAATGTTCATGTTCTAAAAGGCGTGTTCTCCGTTTATTAGCCGTTTAGCTAGCCGAGCAAGGATACATGGGAGGTGTCTTGTAGCCTAGACTTGGTCAAAAATTACCCACAATACACCGCGGTATTTTCAAAAAGATGGCAGATCAGAAGCTAGCAGCTACTTCAGGGACAATTTTCAAGTTTAAAAGTAAGTCAGCTAATTTAAAATGTTTTCTAGATCCAAAGAAGATATTTATTGTTGGTTTGTTGCTTAGTAGTTGCAGCTTTGGTGGCTAGCGGGTAGTAACTTGCTTATATTTTTAATTTAATAAACATATACACTATTTAAAAAGTAAAAGTCTCGTTATATATTTACATTGAAACTAATACGTATAAAATATAACGTTATCTCCCGTGTCACGTGACGTTACATGACTGCCGTGGAAGCTGCGGTCACGTGATGCAAGTCTGTTCCATTTAACCGTTTTCTTTGACCAAGGAAGGACCGTGTCCTCGTAAGCAAGGCGCCTGGCCTCACAAGACATCGCCTCGTGAGGCCAGGCGCCTTGACACTGATAAAACACCCTAGTCATAGTCAATCTGGGTGGAATTCATACTCATACAAGTGAAGGAGCGTTGGCACGTTTAGCATAAACATTCCCAACACGTCGGGCATTTATTTGGGCCAGTAAGAAACCT